CGTAAAACTTTGCAGCAGCTGAGATTCCTTTAAACTCCCTGATTCCATTATATAATAAGCGTTTTTACCACGTTATGTTAAATGGATAGATTTCAGTCCCTCAAACTACAAAAAAAAATATATAATAGAAACTGTTACATCTTTAGAACAACTGAACGATGTGCAACTGGAGAGTTATCAGCGCCGGTACAGATAGAGATAATTTATGGCCCGCATACAGTCAGAAGAGCACTTCATCTACTGGGAATACCCCTTAAGAGGCACGCACGTTCTCCCGTCTTCTAATAAGCTCATTTTTCCACTATACTCTACCTTGTCCGTAATTACTATCGCATTTACTTAGTCTTTTTCGTAAGGTGAAGTCCAGGATCTTTCAGACCTCTCCTACACAATTGTCCTCAAAGATTTGTTAAGTTATACCATGAATTAAGGAAAGATCCTGGACTTCACCTTAGGAAAAAGACAAAGCAAATACGATAGTAATTATGGACAAGGTAGATTATAGTACAAAAATGAGCATATTATTAGAAGACAATGGTACTTACGTGCCCCTTAAAGTCTTAAAAATATACTCACTGAAGCAGAGGAGAGATGCATAATAACATGTATACGGAAGCTATTTGGGACCTCGTCCCAGTTTTGCACGCTGGCATAACAGACCGGGGTGAGATATATGGGAGAAAATGTAAAATAAACCCAGTGAAAACCAGGAGCACTGTTGGTACAATAAGGGAACATCGTTTCAAATCCGTGGTGCCAGACTATTCAACATCTTCCCAGATATCACAAATACTGCTGGGATAAGTGTATTAGCCTTGAAAAGGAAATATGGCAAGTACCTCTACCAAGTGCCGGATCAACCAGGCTGTGATAGATATGTGGGCCAGCGGGTCGCCAGCAGTTACAGCCTATTTGACCAGGCAAGCACCAAGCAAACCTGGCCCAATATCGGGCTTCAGGAGTAAGAAAACTCTCGAAACCAATCAAAGGTATATAAAACTTAGAGGTAAATCTGAACGCAAAAAAAAGACTGCGCAAAACTCTTTTTTACATCCCATAAATGTTTTCACACACAGTACTAATAAATGTAAAACTGCCAAAAACACTTCAGTGGAACATGTGAGGTCAATGTCCATGTGAGTTAAAATTGTCTTGATCATTAATAAAATCAAAAGTCATTTTCAGTTTCTGTAATGTTTATTGGGCAGCACTTGCGAGCTACAACTACTGGTATTGGTAGATAATGACATGAGCCTCACAAGTCATTCACACACACTAAGCAGAGAAACCCTTATTTATTTTATGACGTTTTATCTACAGTGGGGCTTTATCTAGTTCCTTGATAACGCTCCACTGTAGGTGAAAAATATTGTCCCTGCTTAACGTGTCTTTGAATTACTACAAGTAATATTATATCAAAGTTCAGTCTTGTGTTTTGACAAAAAATTTTGAGTGCGAAATATATCCCCATCCCCCACCACAAGATTAATAGAGCACTGTCCACTCCCACAGCCCCCTCCCCCCCCCCTCCCTCCCTCCTGACCACCGCTCCACCTGGCCGGTAACCCAACAATGCGTATCAACTTTTTTTTCACGAGTTAAATAAGAACTGTCAGTGAGAAGGATGTTTAGTGGGGCGAAAAACTACCCCACAAAACTCAAAGAAAAACCCTCTACCAGACTGACATTTGAGGCTTTGAAGTAAACAAAAAATGCAAGAGAAAAATAGGAAAGAAGAGAAAAAGAAAACAGAAACAGAGTCAGGAACACGAATACGCGTGCGTGCGCGCGTACACACACACACACACACACACACACACACACACACACACACACACACACACACACACACACACACACACACACACACACACACACACACACACACGGCTAATTGAATCCAACCCCACCAAATGCAAGGTTATGAAATTGCTACTGGGTCACGAACATCGGAAACTGTGCATAGCCTTGGGGGACAGAGGCTGCAAACTTCACTCAACGAAGATCTTGGGGTGAGTATAGAGTCGAGCAGATCGCCAGAGGTGCATGTAAACTGAATACTCTGCAGCAAGTGCTCATTTGGCTAATTTGGGAGTGGCTGTCAGTAATCTCATGAGATTCATTCACGGTCCTATATACGACATATATCAGGCTCATCTTGGAGTAAGCAGCACCAACATGGAGCCTCTCGCCTAATGCAGCATGTTAAGAAACTGGGGAAAGTGAAGAGGTATGCTACAAAACTAGTCCCATAACTAAGAAAAACGAGCGATGAGAGGCTAAATGAACTGAATCTGAAGACATAGGAGATATAAAAAAAACAAGGGCTACATAACATGCAAAATACTCAAAGAAATTGATAGGGTAGAAGGGAAGGGGGGAAGGTACACGAAGGCACAGTGGAAGTTCAAGACAGTCACATGGATGCCGTGAAGAATTTCTTCAGCCTCAATGTGATCAGGTGACATGACCTGTGCGTAGTGGAGGCAGGCTCTATGTATACATAATTTTAAGACTATGTATGACAGGGCCTATGAGACTAGTAAATCTGGCAAATGGCAAGTTAAATAAGTGGACAATTAAGCACATAGTGCTCAAGATATTAACCATAGGGCTGATCACATACTTTGCATTTGGTTTGATCATCTGTGTCTGCCAGACTGCCAGAAATTCTTGTAATCAAGCCTAAGCCTGGATACTACATCAGTCAGTCTATTCACATTACAAGTTGCTCCATAAACGTACTTATCTTCTTTCATGTTATCACAGTGAGTGATAGATCTACTCAGGTTTCTAACTGCAGATCTAAAACATTGTTTTATTATTTACTTCTATTATTCCTAATGCTAGACAGACATACAAAAGTTATATTTCACATTTTCCTTTGGGCATAAGGCACATAAATATGCCACTTGTTCATAGAATTTGATCCTCAGTACTGTACATAGGTGCTGGAAATTTGAACCCGATTGGATGAAGCATTCCCGGGTTATGAGCTAAATAGAATAGGAAAGGTGAGGGAAAAAATCGTTTCCCAGGCGCTGTATGACCTTACGGGTTTAAGAACTTAAGAGTGGAGGAACACTCCAGAAGGCCTACTGGCCCAAACTAGGCAGGTACTTCTCTAAAGTAACCATTCCCAAAATAAATAACAAAAAAGGCACAATACCGTGACTGGAACGATACACAAATAACCCGCACATAAAAGAGAGAGAAGCTTACGACGACGTTTCGGTCCGACTTGGACCATTGACAAAGTCACTTTGTCAATGGTCCAAGTCGGACCGAAACGTAGTCGTAAGCTTCTCTCTTTTATGTGCGGGTTATTTGTGTATGTAACCATTCCCATCCACCCACTTATCCAACGTTTTCCCAAAGCTTCCCAAGAAATTACTCAGGTACTAATCAAACTGTTTCCTTATGAATATAGTAATAATTGCATATTTGGGAGTGGACTTGTCAGCGGTTGTGCCTGTGAAAGATGAGGTGAACCACAGAGTGGACATGGGGGAAAAAAGGTGGGTGGTGCACTGAGGTACCTGTGGAAGCTAACTTTATCCATGGAGAACAAAAAAAAGGGGGGGGGGGTGGCGGGGGGAAGGTACCAGTAGTATAATGGTGCAAACATTAATGTATCGGTGTGAAGCGTGGGTTTTAAACGTTACAGCGAAAAGGAGGCTAGAGGTAACGAAGATGCTTTGTTTAAGTGTAATGTATGGTGTGAAAATTATGCACAGAGTCCAGAGTTCGGAGATGAGAAGGTTTGGTGTTACTAAAAGATTTATTCAGAAGGATGAGGAGGGATTGTTGAGATGGTTTGGGCACTTAGAGAAGACAAAGCAAAACAAGATGACTAGAGGGGGATGGTTATGCATCAGGGGTGGAGGGAAGGAGATCTAGGGGTCGTCCCAGTAAAGGTTGGACGGAAGAGGCAAAAGAGGTTTCGAGTGCTAGGGTCGTGGACACCCACCAGGCTTATGTAAACTCGTTAGATAGCACTGGGTGGTGGCAAGTGATGTTTTATGACTTGCTGTCCGAATGTGAGCAAGGTAACATTTATGAATTCAGGAAAAATGGTCAACTGGACTTGGGGTCCTGCGGATGGGAGGTAGTGCCTGCACTCTGAAGAAAGTGTGAGGGTTATTACAGTTGGAAGGGCCATCTGAACTCGAATGTCAGCACGCGGTGTAGCAAGACCGTGATTGAATGAGTGACTGAAAGTGTTTCTTCTTGTCGGTCCATCCTACTTGGGTGGTAGACCAGTGCATTGAAAAACATCTATCGTTCACAATACTCTCCTCACATTTCCAAGGAACTGTATCATTTTACTTAAAATCACCCACTGGCAGTAACTGACGTAAATTGTAACTTTTTTTGGTCAGACATCTTTAATAAGTTTAATACTAAAGTATGCCTAATCAAATGGGTTATGGACACATTTAATTTGACATCCCGAGCTTTTGCGAACACAGTATAACGAAGGACCGAAAACTGTCAACACAGCTGCTGAGAGTTACATATCAGTGTTTTTTCCCCAGTCTGGTAACGCAGCTTGACCGCCACCTGCCACACCTTTAATTAAGCACCATTCCCAAGTCTACCTTTAAACGTCTTTATATCACGCAATAAAACTAGTTTTTTTTATTTAATTTGTTATACACAGTGTAAATTAATACTGTCATTTTATATCAAGGTCACATATACTGTATATAATACCCGAAGTTCCCCCACAGGTCCATTATTATTATTATTATTATTATTATTATTATTATTATAATCATTGGGAGCCCTAAACCCGTAGGGATTATACAGCGCCTATGGAGGAGGGGATGGAAGGTGTGGAAAATTTACTCTGATTTTCCTGTAATTAGTATGTGCATGTGAAGTGTTAATATAATGTAAATATGAAGTATTAATGGTATAATCACAAACTAGCAAACTGCTTGTGAGGAAGCGAGTGAGTGTTTCCAACAGTGGGGGGGAGGGGGGTTAGAAGGCAGGAGGTCAGTGTTAGTGACATGGGTGTGCAAGGTTGACTGTTGGTCGTCTTGGCTCTTTATTTGACCCCAGTGGAGAGGTTAAAGAAAACTGAATCTGAGGAGTACTGTCCGGGTAGCAGTGTTGAGAAGTAGTGTTGTTTCTCTCGAGGAATTGGCAATCAGCCGAATCTTCAAATTAATTAATGTGTAATGGAAACGGTGTCTTCAGAAATTGATGAAGTTCACACCACATGTAATGTACGCCTTCCAGTGTATTGATTTTCACTACAGGTATGTTAATTTATATTGGCTAATATGAATTACCTACCGAAAGGGAGGCGTTAGGATATATCACCAAAATCTTAATTTGGTGAGTAATTTTGAACGTCCTTTATACTTTTCTAATCACGTAATTGATTTGTATTTATATAAAATTACCCAAGTAAATCACTCAGGTCAAGTAATTGATATTATCGATTATATAGTCCACATATAATTTGTCAGTGTTACTGGCATAATTTTTTCAAATAATTTTAATAATAATTTAAGGTCCAGATGTATGAGACGTGATGAGCTGAGAAGGTGAGCACGAAGGTGGGATATTAGTGTGACCTGGTGACCTTAAAGTCCCACTTGACTCTGAGCTACATCAGTATCAGTAAGTGTAAACTGTTTGATGTACCAAAGTTTCTTCACAATTATGTAGGTTGGTAGACAGCAACCACCCAGGGAAGTACTACCGTCCTGCCAGATGACTGTGAAACAGAAACCTGTAACTGTTTTGCATGATGGTAGGATTGCTGGTTTCTTTTTCTGTCTCATAAACACGCTAGATAACAGGGATATCTTGCTACTCCTACTTACACTTTGGTCACACTACACAGACACGCACATGCATATATATACATACATCTAGGTTTTTCCCCTTTTTCTAAATAGCTCTTGTTCTTCTTTATTTCTTCTATTGTCCATGGGGAAGTGGAAAAGAATCTTTCCTCCGTAAGCCATGCGTGTCTTATGAGGCGACTAAAATGCCGGGAGCAATGGGCTAGTAACCCCTTCTCCTGTAGACATTTACTAAAAAAGAGAAGAAAAACTTTATAAAACTGGGATGCTTGAATGTGCTTGGATGTAGTGCGGATGACAAGAAACAGATGATTGCTGATGTTATGAATGAAAAGAAGTTGGATGTCCTGGCCCTAAGCGAAACAAAGCTGAAGGTGATAGGAGTTTCGGTGGGGGGAAATAAATGGGATTAAATCTGGAGTATCTGAGAGAGTTAAAGCAAAGGAAGGGGTAGCAGTAATGTTGAAGGATCAGTTATGGAAGGAGAAGAGAGAATATGAATGTGTAAATTCAAGAATTATGTGGATTAAAGTAAAGGTTGGATGTGAAAAGTGGGTCATAATAAGCGTGTATGCACCTGGAGAAGAGAGGAATGTAGAGGAGAGAGAGAGATTTTGGGAGATGTTAAGTGAATGTATAGGAGCCTTTGAACCAAGTGAGAGAGTAATTGGGGTAGGGGATCTGAATGCTAAAGTAGGAGAAACTTTTAGAGAGGGTGTGGTAGGAAAGTCTGGGGTGCCAGGTGTAAATGATAATGGGAGCCCTTTGATTGAACTTTGTATAGAAAGGGGTTTAGTTATAGGTAATACATATTTTAAGAAAAAGAGGATAAATAAGTATACAAGATATGATGTAGGGCGAAATGACAGTAGTTTGTTGGATTATGTATTGGTAGATAAAAGACTGTTGAGTAGACTTCAGGATGTACATGTTTATAGGGGGGCCACAGATATATCAGATCACTTTCTAGTTGTAGCTACACTGAAAGTAAAAGGTAGATGGGGTACAAGGAGAATAGAAGCATCAGGGACGAGAGAGGTGAAGGTTTATAAACTAAAAGAGGAGGCAGTTAGGGTAAGATATAAACAACTATTGGAGGATAGATGGGCTAATGAGAGCATAGGCAATGGGGTCGAAGAGGTATGGGGTAGGTTTAAAAATGTAGTGTCAGAGTGTTCAGCAGAAGTTTGTGGTTACAGGAAAGTGGGTGTGGGAGGGAAGAGGAGCTATTGGTGGAATGATGATGTAAAGAGAGCAGTAAGGGAGAAAAAGTTAGCATATGAGAAGTTTTTACAAAGTAGAAGTGATGCAAGGAGGGGAGAGTATATGGAGAAAAAGAGAGAGGTTAAGAGTGTGGTAAAGCAATGTAAAAAGAGAGCAAATGAGAGTGGGTGAGATGTTATCAACAAATTTTGTTGAAAATAAGAAAGTTTTGGAGTGAGATTAACAAGTTAAGGAAGCCTAGAGAACAAATGGATTTGTCAGTTAAAAATAGAAGAGAAGAGTTATTAAATGGAGAGTTAGAGGTATTGGGAAGATGGAGGGAATATTTTGAGGAATTGTTAAATGTTGATGAAGATAGGGAAGCTGTGATTTCGTGTATAGGGCAAGGAGGAATAACATCTTGTAGGAGTGAGGAAGAGCCAGTTGTGAGTGTGGGGGAAGTTCGTGAGGCAGTAGGTAAAATGAAAGGGGGTAAGGCAGCCGGGATTGATGGGATAGATAGAAATGTTAAAAGCAGGTGGGGATATAGTTTTGGAGTGGTTGGTGCAATTATTTAATAAATGAATGGAAGAGGGTAAGGTACCTAGGGATTGGCAGAGAGCATGCATAGTTCCTTTGTATAAAGGCAAAGGGGACAAAAGAGTGCAAAAATTATAGGGGGATAAGTCTGTTGAGTATACCTGGTAAAGTGTATGGTAGTTATTATTGAAAGAATTAAGAGTAAGACGGAGAATAGAATAGCAGATGAACAAGGAGGCTTTAGGGGGTGTGTGGACCAGGTGTTTACAGTGAAACACATAAGTGAACAGTATTTAGATAAGGCTAAAGAGGTCTTTGTGGCATTTATGGATTTGGAAAAGGCGTATGACAGGGTGGATAGGGGGGCAATGCCGCAGATGTTGCAGGCGTATGGTGTAGGAGGTAGGTTACTGAAAGCAGTGAAGAGTTTTTACGAGGATAGTGAGGCTCAAGTTAGAGTATGTAGGAAAGAGGGAAATTATTTCCCAGTAAAAATAGGCCTTAGACAAGAATGTGTGATGTCACCATGGTTGTTTAATATATTTATAGATGGGGTTGTAAGAGAAGTAAATGCGAGGGTCTTGGCAAAAGGCGTGGAGTTAGAAGATAAAGAATCACACATAGTGGGAGTTGTCACAGTTGCTCTTTGCTGATGACACTGTGCTCTTGGGAGATTCTGAAGAGAAGTTGCAGAGATTGGTGGATGAATTTGGTAGGGTTTGCAAAAGAAGAAAATTAAAAGTGAATACAGGAAAGAGTAAGGTTATGAGGATAACAAAAAGATTAGGTGATGAAAGATTGGATATCAGATTGGAGGGAGAGAGTATGGAGGAGGTGAATGTATTCAGATATTTGGGAGTGGACGTGTCAGCGGATGGGTCTATGAAAGATGAGGTGAATCATAGATTTGATGAGGGGAGAAGGGTGAGTGGTGCACTTAGGAGTCTGTGGAGACAAAGAACTTCGTCCTTGGAGGCAAAGAGGGGAATGTATGAGAGTATAGTTTTACCAACGCTCTTATATGGGTGTGAAGCATGGGTGATGAATGTTGCAGCGAGGAGAAGGCTGGAGGGAGTGGAGATGTCATGTCTGAGGGCAATGTGTGGTGTGAATATAATGCAGAGAATTCGTAGTTTGGAAGTTAGGAGGAGGTGCGGGATTACCAAAACTGTTGTCCAGAGGGCTGAGGAAGGGTTGTTGAGGTGGTTCGGACATGTAGAGAGAATGGAGTGAAACAGAGTGACTTCAAGAGTGTATCAGTCTGTAGTGGAAGGAAGGCGGGCTTAGGGGTCGGCCTAGGAAAGGTTGGAGGGAGGGGGTAAAGGAGGTTTTGTGTGCGAGGGGCTTGGACTTCCAGCAGGCATGTGTGAGCGTGTTTGATAGGAGTGAATGGAGACAAATGGTTTTTAATACTTGACGTGCTGTTGGAGTGTGAGCAAAGTAACATTTATAAAGGGGTTCAGGGAAACCGGCAGGCCGGACTTGTCCTGGAGATGGGAAGTACAGTGCCTGCACTCTGAAGGAGGGGTGTTAATGTTGCAGTTTAAAAACTGTAGTGTAAAGCACCCTTCTGGCAAGACAGTGATGGAATGAATGATGGTGAAAGTTTTTATTTTTCGGGCCACCCTGCCTTGGTGGGAATCGGCCAGTGTGATAATAAAAAATAAAATATGTTAATTCAGGACGTTATAAAATTTACCTACATAATTTCTCACAATGTATTCAGACTCAATTCAGGGAAATAGAGCACAGATCCAATTCCCTAGATCAAAAACCCCTCACCAGCGACAAGGAACCTTCCTTGAGGGGCCTATAGGTCCAACCAATTTATTCCCATATTCTCTCGCCAAAAACTCAATTATTTCGTTTTGTCTTTAATTTTGGTTTAGTTACAGCGCAAGAGGTAACCAGCCCCTTGCTCCTGCCATTGCCCTCGTAAACCATACGACAGGTATGGCTTACTAGGGCAAGGATTTTAATTAATGATTTAGTACAGTATCTTGATACAACACTTCGATATTATATTGTGTGGTTCTTTGTGGCTTATAAAATTTTTTTGATCTGAATTGAAAATTGATACTGAGTAGGGCAGTACCTTCTTACTACACGTGGTAAAATATTTTCTGATATCCATTACAGCACTAAACAGAAATATTATGATAGTGTCCATTATAAAAGTTGACACTGAACAGCATTTATCAAATGATCTTATGTAATACACGTTTTCAACTTTACTACTGGACACTTGGTATACCGGTATTTAACACTTGATACTCATTATACCGCTGGACACTTGGTATACCGGTATTTAACACTTGATACTCATTATACCGCTGGACACTTGGTATACCGGTATTTAACACTTGATACTCATTATACCGCTGGACACTTGGTATGCCGGTATTTAACACTTGATACTCATTATACCGCTGGACACTTGGTATACCGGTATTTAACACTTGATACTCATTATACCGCTGGACACTTGGTATACCGGTATTTAACACTTGATATTCATTATACCGCTGGACACTTGGTATACCGGTATTTAACACTTGATACTCATTATACCGCTGGACACTTGGTATACCGGTATTTAACACTTGATATTCATTATACCGCTGGACACTTGGTATACCGGTATTTAACACTTGATACTCATTATACCGCTGGACACTTGGTATACCGGTATTTAACACTTGATATTCATTATACCACTGGACACTTGGTATACCGGTATTTAACACTTGACACTCATTATACCGCTGGACACTTGGTATACCGGTATTTAACACTTGATACTCATTATACCGCTGGACACTTGGTATACCGGTATTTAACACTTGATATTCATTATACCGCTGGACACTTGGTATGCCGGTATTTAACACTTGATACTCATTATACCGTTGGACACTTGGTATACCGGTATTTAACACTTGATATTCATTATACCGCTGGACACTTGGTATGCCGGTATTTAACACTTGATACTCATTATACCGCTGGACACTTGGTATACCGGTATTTAACACTTGATATTCATTATACCGCTGGACACTTGGTATGCCGGTATTTAACACTTGATACTCATTATACCGCTGGACACTTGGTATACCGGTATTTAACACTTGATATTCATTATACCGCTGGACACTTGGTATGCCGGTATTTAACACTTGATACTCATTATACCGCTGGACACTTGGTATACCGGTATTTAACACTTGATACTCATTATACCGCTGGACACTTGGTATACCGGTATTTAACACTTGATATTCATTATACCACTGGACACTTGGTATACCGGTATTTAACACTTGATATTCATTATACCACTGGACACTTGGTATCTGCAACACAAACTTATCCAGTGACATAAGTTATTTGCAATAATGCCCATTATACCACTGGACACTATCTGCAGTTGATACTCCATAACACAGGACACTTAGTATTTGCAACACTGATACTCATTATATCACTTGATATATGTGAAACACTTGATATTACTCACTATAAAACTGAACACATGGATAACAGATTAATAATTTTCCAAGTAACAATCACTGCCACCAGTGACAATCACTGCCACCAGTGACAATCACTGCCACCAGTGACAATCACTGCCACCAGTAGTGTTGATCTTAACTATACCATTATCATAATACTCATCTTGAGTTTATCACTGCCACTTGTGTGAACATTTTCAGACATATGAAAATAACACTTACAAGTTAAATAGCATTGTCTTACCTCGCAACACTACATATTTTCCTCTCTGATCCATTCATTACTTATACGCATCAGGGGTCTATTGGTCGTGGACCGAGCCGCAGGGGCGTTGGCCCTCGAAGTACCCTCCAGGTATCGTTTAAGAATTTTCTCCCCTGCATCTTCTGGCTGTTTCGTCATTATATTAGTATATTCACGAAAATCGTGTGGTGTCGTTTAGCCTTTTTTTTTTCACTATCGTAAAAATTACTCTTCTTTCAACTGTTACATTTTACCTTATATTATTCAGTAAAACCTGAACACACATTTCAGTAGGTACATTCTGATAAATTTTTGAACACTTTTATAGTGATCTACAAGAACTTCTTATACTGCTGCCACTTTTTATACATGAAAACTGAGTTGTTTCCAGGTCAGGAATAACTATTCTCATGACAATAATGGGAATGTAGTTTAGCCCTCGCCATTCATTACATTTATTTGAAGGAGTCAAAATAGCAGTGTTAGGTAAATGGACACATTTAACTGGAGAATCTGATAATGTGACATTTTATTGTGGGAACGTTTCGCTCTCCAGGAGCTTTGTCAAGCCGTTTGTAACGTCTTGACAATGCTTCTGAAGAAAGAAACGCTGCCACATGTCACATTTACCGAACATTTGGTCTGTAATTTTACCATTATTTAAATCGACTAACTTCATTCTACCTGTTGTTAATTGCAGGGGTCATCACTCTCGTGGCCTGGTCTGGGACCAGGCTTCTTGACTAATGACTTATCAGTCACCTTGTTGGTTTCAGCAGGGTGCAAGCCAACGTAGGCACTATAGCCCGGCTGACGCTTAAGAACCTTAGTTGCCCCTCTTGAAGAGAGCTAGGATTCTGCTGGCAAGTTACCTTATAAATAAAGGAAAAGTATTTTTGATAAAACTTGTATGCTAACGTTGTCTGTAGTCAAGGCATCCTCGGGATTACCTAACGTCTGAAACTAGTGTACACTGGGAAGACAGATAACAGAAGACTTTACGGCCATATCAGGGTTATCTGTATAGAAGAACTAAACTGTCGATAAATGTGAGAAACTGAACCAATAATAAGCAAGCAAATCTAAAATCAACTACGTATACCGAGATGATGTCATACGCACGTATTCACTGGCATTACCAACACCGGGGCGTTGTAATGCTGGCAATGGGAAAAGTCGGTAGAGAGTATGGAAATTTTTAGCGAGAGCAGCGATGCCACATGTCGCTAGCATGCCAGCAACCAACCCTCATGGGAACACCACTACCCCACACACTACCTAAGCATAACGTGTGTGCAAGTTGAAGCGTTATCACACTCGCACGGGTCAGAATTTAGTTTAATGAGTGAAAACACATCTTTTAGCCAGTATTTTGTGTATTTAGCGTGAATGTTAACCCATATCCAACTAAAAATTTTCGATAGTTAATTAAAAATCCCTCTAAATACCGCCTCTTTCATACACATGCCTGTCTTAACGCCTAGTTTTCATTCATAATGTAATGGATCTTCATCATGTGCTAATTCGCTGTCAACTTAGACTGACAGCTTCATCATAAGCAGACAAAACTTGGCGGTATCAAAGAGGGCAGACAGAGAGGTTGAGAGGAAGGAGCCAGTAACAAGGAGTCACAGATGTAAACTAAACATACACATGAACCTCAGGGATGTCCAAGTATTTATCCAGTCGCAGCATGACTAATAATTATGAGATAAGGATGTGGTTGGGGTACCTTCCAGTCAACTTCAAAAGTAGGTATGACAGTCAGGGAGGCGAGAATACAGTGGATGTGGTTCAAGCTAACCCAAGAGGCGGAGCCTGGAGCTGCATTTTGAAACACAACTGTGAATGAATATTTAACTCGCTAGTTTACTGGGTTTACCCATCTCAACACTGATCATGCTCCTTATCATAATCTGTCGGACACAAAAATAATTTACTGGACTTTATTGACAATCGACAGAACCAAGTAAAACTGGCACTATTTCAAACGAAATCAATATCTCTCGTTCTTTCTAACGTCAGTTTAAAAAGTTACTTATTCATAATCTATGAAACTAAATATTCCGGTTATTTAAAAAGAGCATGATACATTTTAATACCTCACCGGGGAAACGCCTGCAATACAAAAAAAGTCGAAGCTACTTTATCAGTATATTTAAAGCTGGTGTCTACGTTCATTCTCACATGACTAACAAAGTCGTCTTGTCTTGTATGTGTAGGCTTGCTTTGCCCCGGATCATTCTCGTCACCAGCAGGTTACAAACCGTCATTCCCGTCCCCTGGCAGTGTGTTCCACTATGGTGGCTGGCCGCGCATTTTCGTGTTAATAATCACTACCTGGCTACTTTGCCCCTTGTCATTATTTTGAAAAAAGTTTTTTATGTATTCATACTCGTGCAACATTGTCACTGAGGAAATATAGCATATTTCAAATTATGAGGGTTGTAAACAATGATGGCAGTAAATTCGAACTGAGAAGTTAGCAAATATAAGAACTGGCAAATATCTCCCCCGTGATAACATACAGGTCGAGGTAGGGAGACGGATCCACTGTGTTCGCTCACTGACCTTGACCTCGACGTAATATGAACTAGCCTAATGTTTGATGTTAATGTAATTCCTGTATTATACACCACGAGAATAATTTACACTGTTGTTAAGTGCTGTTGAAGCAATTAAATATTATAATGTATTCGTAGTCAATTACTGTGATGTTCGATTATGGAGCCTTTATCGACACATTATTGCATTTGTTACCAGTTAACGAGAGCATAACCGGACAAATGAAAAAAACGTAATGTATAAATAAGTAAAAACAATTAAGTCTTGCGCAATAGTTCAAGTATTCAAATAAGTTGAAGTGGCATGAGTCGAGGGGGGGGGGGGTGGAAGGGATCAGCTGGAGAAAAACCAAGACTGCCTCTACTAGCAGCCTGCAGTGAACCACTGTACTGCTTCATGCCTCTACTAGCAGCCTGCAGTGAACCACTGTACTGCTTCATGCCTCTACTAGCAGCCTGCAGTGAACCACTGTACTGCTTCATGCCTCTACTAGCAGCCTGCAGTGAACCACTGACCTCCTTCATGCCTCTACTAGCAGCCTATAGTGAACCACTGTATTGCTTCCTGCCTCTACTAGCAGCCTATAGTGAACCACTGTATTGCTTCCTGCCACTACTAGCAGCCTATGGTGAACCACTGCACTGCTTCCTGCTTCTACTGGCAGCCTGCAGTGAATCACTGCTGCTTCCTGCCTCTACTAGCAGCCTGCAGTGAACCACTGCTGCTTCCTGCCTCTACTAGCAGCCTGCAGTGAACCACTGTACTGCTTCCTGCCTCTACTAGCAGCCTACAGTGAACCATTGTACTCATTCATGCCTCTACTAGCAGCCTGCAGTGAACCACTGTATTGCTTCCTGCCTATACTAGCAGCCTGCAGTGAACCACTGTATTGCTTCCTGCCTATACTAGCAGCCTGCAGTGAACCACTATTGCTTCCTGCCTCTACTAGCTGCCTATAGTGAACCGCTGTATTGCTTCCTGCCTCTACTAGCAGCCTGCAGTGAACCACTTTACTGCTTCCTGCCTCTACTAGCAGCCTGCAGTGAACCACTGTACTGCTTCATGCCTCTACTGGCAACCTGCAGTGAACCACTGCACTGCTTCCTGCTTCTACTGGCAGCCTGCAGTGAACCACTGCACTGCTTCCTGCTTCTACTGGCAGCCTGCAGTGAACCACTGTATTGCTTCCTGCCTCTACTAGCAGCCTGCAGTGAACCACCATTGCTTCCTGCCCCTACTAGCAGCCTATAGTGAACCACTGTATTGCTTCCTGCCTCTACTAGCAGCCTGCAGTGAACCACTTTACTGCTTCCTGCCTCTACTAGCAGCCTGCAGTGAACCACTGTATTGCTTCCTGTCTCTACTAGCAGCCTATAGTGAACCACTGTATTGCTTCCTGCATCTACTAGCAGCCTGCAGTGAACCACTGTACTGCATCATGCCTCTAGCAGCCTGCAGCGAACCACTGTATTGCTTCCTGCCTCTACTAGCAGTCTGCCTTTGAACCACTGCACTGCTTCCTGCTTCTACTAGCAGCCTGCAGTGAACCACTGCACTGCTTCCTGCTTCTACTAGCAGCCTGCAGTGAACCACTGCACTGCTTCCTGCTTCTACTAGCAGCCTTCAGTGAACCACTGCACTGCTACTAGCAGCCTGCAATGAACCACTGTATTGCTTCCTGCCTCTACTAGCAGCCTGCAGTGAACCACTTCACTGCTTCCTGCCTCTACTAGCAGCCTACAGTGAACCACTGTATTGTTTCCTGCCTCTACTAGCAGCCTGCAGTGAACCACTTTACTGCTTCCTGCCTCTACTAGCAGCCTGCAGTGAACCACTGTATTGCTTCCTGCCTATACTAGCAGTCTGCAGTGAACCACTTTACTGCTTCCTGCCTCTACTAGCAGCCTGCAGTGAACCACATTATTGCTTCCTGCCTCTACTAGCAGCCTGCAGTGAACGACTGCACTGCTTCCTGCTTCTACTAGCAGCCTGCAGTGAACCACTGTATTGCTTCCTGCCTCTACTAGCAGCCTGCAGTGAACCACTTTACTGCTTCATGCCTCTACTAGCAGCCTGCAGTGAACCACTTTACTGCTTCCTGCCTCTACTAGCAGCCTGCAGTGAACCACTGTATTGCTTCCTGCCTCTACTACCAGCCTGCAGTGAACCACTATTGCTTCCTGCCTCTACTAGCAGCCTGCAGTGAACCACTGTACTGCTTCCTGCCTTTGCTACTAGCCTGCAGTGAACCACTGCTGCTTCCTGCCTCTACTAGCAGCCTGCAGTGAACCACTGCTTCCTGCCTCTACTAGCAGCCTGCAGTGAACCACTGTACTGCTTCCTGCCTCAACTAGCAGCCTGCAGTGAAACTGTGCTGTTTCCTGCCTCTACTAGCAGCCTGCAGTGAACCACTGTACCGTTTCCTGCTTCTACTAGCAGCCTGCAGTGAACCTCTGTACTGTTCCTGCTTCAACTAGCAGCCTGCAGTGAAACTGTCCTGTTTCCTGCCTCTACTAGCAGCCTGCAGTGAACCACTGTACTGTTTCCTGCTTCTAGCAGCCTGCGGTGAACCACTGTACTGCTTCCTGCCTCTACTAGCAGCCTGCAGTGAGCCACTGTATTGCTTCCTGCCTCTACTAGCAGCCTGCAGTGAGCCACTGTATTGCTTCCTGCCTCTACTAGCAGCCTGCAGTGAACCACTGTACTGTTTCCTGCTTCTACTAGCAGCCTGCAGTGAACCACTGTACTGCTTCTGCCTCAACTAGCAGCCTGCAGTGAGCCACTGTTGCTTCCTGCCTCTACTAGCAGCCTGCAGTAAGCCACTGTGCTTCCTGCCTCTACTAGCAGCCTGCAGTGAACCACTGTACCGTTTCCTGCTTCTACTAGCAGCCTACAGTGAACCACTGTACTGCTTCCTGACTCTACTAGCAGCCTGCAGTGAATCACTGTACTGCTTCCTGCCTCTACTAGCAGCCTGCAGTGAGCCACTGTATTGCTTCCTGCCTCTACTAGCAACTTAGTGAACCACTGTATTGCTTCCTGCCTCTACTAGCAGCCTGCAGTGAACCACTGCTGCTTCCTGCCTCTACTAGCAGCCTGCAGTGAACCACTGCTGCTTCCTGCCTCTACTAGCAGCCTGCAGTGAACCACTGTACTGCTTCATGCCTCTACTAGCAGCCTGTGAACCACTGTACTCCTTCATGCCTCTACTAGCAGCCTATAGTGAACCACTGTATTGCTTCCTGCCTATACTAGCAGCCTGCAGTGAACCACTGTATTGCTTCCTGCCTCTACTAGCAGCCTGCAGTGAACCACTATTGCTTCCTGCCTCTACTAGCTGCCTATAGTGAACCGCTGTATTGCTTCCTGCCTCTACTAGCAGCCTGCAGTGAACCACTGTACTGCTTCCTGCCTCTATTAGCAACCTGAAGTGAACCACTGTACTGCTTCCTGCCTCTATTAGCCTGCAGTGAACCACTGCACTGCTTCCTGCCTCTACTAGCAGCCTGCAGTGAACCACTGTACTGCTTCATGCCTCTACTAGCAGCCTGCAGTGAACCTCTGTACTGCTTCCTGCTCTGCTACCAGCCTGCAGTGAACCACTGTACTGCTTCCTGCCTCTACTAGCAGCCTGCAGTGAACCACTGTATTGCTTCCTGCCTCTGCTACTAGCCTGCAGTGAACCACTGCCGCTTCCTGCCTCTACTAGCAGCCTGCAGTGAACTGCTGTACTGCTTCCTGCTTCTATTAACAGCCTGCAGTGAACCACTGTACTGCTTCCTGCCTCTACTAGCAGCCTGCAGTGAACCACTGTACTGCTTCCTGCCTCTACTAGCAGCCTATAGCGAACCACTGTATTGCTTGCTGCCTCTAATAGCAGCCTGCAGTAAACCACTGTACTGCTTCCTGCCTCTACTAGTAGCCTGGAGTGAACCAGTTTACTGCTTCCTGCCTCTAGCAGTCTGCAGTGAACCACTGTACTGCTTCCTGCCTCTACTAGCAGCCTGCAGTTAACCACTGTATTGCTTCCTGCCTCTGCTACCAGCCTGCAGTGAACCACTGCTGCTTCCTGCCTACTAGCAGCCTGCAGTGAACCACTGTACTGCTTCCTGCCTCTACTAGCAGCCTGCAGTGACACTGTACGCTTCCTGCCTCTACTAGCAGCCTGCAGTGAAACATTGTGCTGTTTCTTGCCTCTACTAGCAGCCTGCAGTGAACCATTGTACTGCTTCCTGCCTCTATTAGCAGCCTGCAATGGTAAAGCTCCTTGTCCCTATCAGGCTCCTCATCCCCTGTCAAGTTCACTATCAAGCTCCCTATCCTCTTGAGTTGTCAAGTTTCCGGTATCCTGGGTAGGATGGCAAAGCCTCCTGTACCTGGATTTCAGAACTTCAGGTACTTAATTACGGCCATTCCTGAAGGTTACCTGCAGTCTCTTCCGGAGGTCACCACCACCACCATCACCACCACCATCACCACCACCAGCACCACCACCAGCACCACCACCACCACCACCACCACCACCACCACCCGCTCCCACACTAGAAATAGGAGCGTTTATAACTGGTTTATTACATGTGGAGGGAGCGATAAACTCCATGGAAATTGTCATAAACCCCATTCATGGAGGGAGCGATAAACCCATAAATCATTCTACGCCTGGAAAATGGGAGGCATTTAGGTTTGATCCAAGGGGAGGAGAGATTCAATTCCTAAGATAGAGACCCTCACCAGCATCGAGAAACCTCCCTTGACGGGTAGGTGGTGTCAAGTCTCTTGTACTCTAGGGGAGGTATCGAGTCTCTTGTACTCTAGGGGGAGTCTAGGGGAGGTATCGAGTCTCAAGAGGAAACTAGACAATTATCTTCACCAGGTGCCAAATCAACCAGGCTGTGATGGATATGTAGGTTAGCAGGCCACCGACCGCAAGAGCCTAATTGAACAGGCAAGCACCAGACGAGCCTGGCCCATGGCCGGGCTCCGGGAGTAGAAAAACTCAACTCATGAAAGGTACCACAAAAAATGCATTGCTTCTGAGAAGAGAATATCTGTAAATTATAAATTGAATGAATGCTATACTTTGTGGCAAATACGAACTTGCTAGTTCTCAGTCTCCTAGTGTAACAGGTGTATTGCAAGCC